GTGAAAAGAGAAGAAAACACGTGGCTCAAGACCAGCTGGAGACACGGAGAGTTTAGCCCTAGCTGCAGACTAGAACTAAAGTAAAGTTGTAAGTCAGAGAAGAAAAAGGCTGGCTATTAGTTCCGTGTTCCTTGTTTTAAGCTTTCTTCAGAAGGGAGGGGAACAACTTCTCCTCATTATCATAGAGCCCTTCCCAACATGTCCGTGATTGGCTATATGTCAATTTTAACTAATGTTTATTAACTAATAGGTGGTGCTTAGAGAGAAGCTCCGGATCACGTAGCAGCGTCACCAAAAGGTCATCTGCAGAATCAGCATGTCAGATAAACACCAGGTGCTTCGTGTGATAAATCTTCCGGGAGGGTTATCTTCAGGGTCAACCTTACCATCTTGGAGACAGCAAGTCTAGGCACGACCTCGAGATCCATTGTTTTACTGGCCTCTCCCAGCTTAGCATGCAGATAACTAGGGGCCTCTTTCCTGAGTCGTTACTTTGCCTCTACTGATTACTGATTCAGCTGTTTTTCCTGTCTCCAAAACCTTTCTTTGACCCTTCATAGCCCAAAGTTCTTTAGTCAGTATTTCAAGCAGTCTTTTTGATATCAACTTTATTCATGTGTAAAAGTCCAATATAAAGACCTGCTCCTAACAATGGGTGACCAGCCAAGCCTGCACTAAAAACAGGGCGGGAGGGTGGGTTGACAACTCGGCAAACTGCTGCCGAGCAAGGGAGGGGGGCTGGCTTAAAACTCCTTGGCCCCTCCTCCCCCTTGGATCCAAATGGGCCAATTAGGGCCCGACACGACTCCCCGTCTCCTTCTTCTGGGCGGCAAATATGCCTCCCCAGCCCAATGGCCGTTCCAGCTGAGGGCTGTTGATCCAGCATATTTGATACTTGTCAAAGAAGTATTTATTACTGGTGCAAAAACATCAAACACATGACCAGTAAAGAAGATTCTTAAAATGATAATTGGGATAGCAAATAAGTTACCATCTAGTCAACAATAAAAACAGCTGATGGCAGTCAACAAGGAACATTCTCTTCCTGTGCCATTAGATAATGATTAATTCCTGTGTCCATTTATTACTTTGAGAATTAATTACTTGAATGTATAAAATTGTGTTTTTTATCCCCAGGAGAGTATTTTATGCACACCAAACAGTCAAAAGGGGGGGTAAATAACTCCCCCTTGGGACAGTTTCTGGTTGGGAAGACAGTATGGAGGGAAGGCAAGAACCCTCCCTCCCACCAAGTTAAGGTTCTTCAGTTCAGCCAGGCTCTCATTTATTTTATTTATTTATTAAACAGACAGTTCCTACAGCTGCTTGTGGCTAAAATTGTAATGTCCGATTAAATAGGGGGACAGAACAGACAGAAATGCCTCTGCTCATTTCCATTCTTTTATCAGTATTCAGGCGATGGGGGGGGGACAGTAATATATAAACAAACATGGGGAAACACAGAGGTACAGAATTT